TTTTTTGTTGGGTAAAAAATGGCGGAAAATTTGAATATTAAAGTCGTTGTCAGTTGTGCGCGGCCGGTATTGCTTCCTACTGACTAGACTACCAGAATCTAATATATATTTGCCTTGGAAAGTGCTGTATTCGTATCAAAATGTACAAACATTTTTTAGTTGTTATTGATTTATTCCCTTTTTCCCTTAATTTCAATCATGCAAGAAGCTCGTGAAGCAGAACTGCCCATTTATTTTGTTTCAAGTGAAATGATAACTTTGTACTAACATTTATGTGTGGTAATATTACCAATAACTATGAATACAATTTGCATTCTCTGTAGAAAATCAAACTGCATACAAAATGTATAATTTAACATGTAAACAATCATTATTTTCATTTAAGATCATGTATACAACAGTTTTATTTTAAACATCTTTACAGAATGCAGCACTTTATTTTTTTTAACAGCAGCTACTATTTATCGCTAGTTATTATTGTTTTTATTATTTCCTAATTCACTATAACCATCATAATGAAGAGTGGAGTGATAAAACAGTTAATTTTTGTACAACATTATCGGAATAATTATCAATAAAAATTTATAACAAACAACTTCAACATAATGTTTTTTGTTTCTTAATTCCACTCTTCAATTAATTGCATAGAAAAGCAGAAGTGGCATAATTCTTGCATCTCATTCCAAATGAATCTTATTTCAGTCATTTTCGCGAATAAAAGATTATTGCAATTCTATATTTTACGATATAATATATGTATAATCACTTGTCTTTTATTTGAGCACTGATACTTGTTTTTATTGTGTGACAGTACACTATATTTTTTCTATACCAGTTTACTAAATGAAACTTATAGGATCAATGAATCAACTCAAATACTTCATTTTTTTGATTATATTAAACGAGAGTATGTGAGAAATAATAAAAGTGTCAAGGTAGATACATATGCAATACTACAATTGTATGATAATTTGTTGAAATGTATTCAGGAAGCACATCAAAAGCACTCTTCGTTAATTATCATTAAAATATGCATGACTATACACGTTGTACTTCCGATTAAACAAAGTCATTGTAAAACAAGATGTATGCCACTTGCTCATGAATATAAACTTGGTTGGTGTTTTTTTGTTAATTATCAGTCTATGATATAATTGGATATTTGACTGATAAAAATCAGTCAATTAATAAGGCAGGTGCATATGCTACTACATGACAAAGATTTCTTCTTTTTTCTGTTAGTAACATTACAGTTGTATTACTTCTATATGGTATGCATGTAATTATTCCCTGAATGATATACAGGTGTACACCTGACTCTTGATTTACGCGTAGTTTTTATGTGTGATTTGAATTTAATAACACCAAATAATATATACTTTTGTTTTTTGAAATGTTATTATTATTATTTCTTTTGTTTGGCTATGTGAAATAAATATATATTTCTAAAACTTATAGCAGCTTTTCTTTCTAATATTTTGTTTCCTTTTGTACCGATAGACTCTATTTACACGATTTTCATTCGCATAAAACGAATCCATGTGGAATGAATTTTCGCGTAAATTGAGGGTCAGGTGTATGTATATAAATATAGGTAATAAAATTTGATGTTTTAAGCGGACCATTTTGAAATAAAAGAATTAGGAATAACAAATCTTTGGCATTTAGTAACATGTACCTTCCATCTAATCAAAGATTTTGTGTATGAAAGCTAGAGTTAAATGGAGGAAACAGTTCTACAAAGAAATTTATACAAAGTCATCCTTGGACACTTAGAAAATAGATATGATAATATATGTAATTATATAAATAAAGATACTGATATGGAAAGACTAGGAAGGCAATACTGCTTATTGTATTTGGTATGTAAAGTCTAGTCTTTCAGACTCAAAATCTCCAATTCAATACTAAAAGTACAACGGAGTAGATGTTCATTCCATTGGATCCCCAACATTTTCGAAGATGGTTGAATGAGGGTTGCTTCCAGTGGCCCATAAAAAGCCACCCACACTGCCAGGTGGCAAGTATGATGCTCCTCCACTGAGACCCACCTGATATATTTTCTTCTTTAAATTATTTACATTTCGTATCATTTAAGTGCTCAATATCTTTATTAACATGTCTTAAAAAATAAAATCTAGGAAGCCAAATAAGAAAAATTTACACTACAAATAATATGCATTTTTAAAGCTTCATGTTTAAGTGTTTAACACTGTTTTGTTCTGGGAGTTCTTCATCATGGTTGTGCTAAAGTACGGTGGATTATCATTCTCTGTATAGCGTTGGTGTATCAGTGCATAAATTAGGATTACTGTTTGAATAGTGTATTTAACAGGCATGTTGTCTATATAAATCGATATTGCACAGTTATCAAAATATAACTTTATTTTTTGTTTGTTAC